TGATAATGAACTGAATTGAAATAGATTTCTTGATTGAAATGAAAATAATTCTTCAAAGAAAATGTCTTCTCAACTGTACAGACTATACTCTCTGATTAAAAATCAATTTTCTTCTTTAAATGTTGAAAAAGTTGATCATGAGAAGTTATCTTTCTGAAGAGAAAAGCTTGAATCTCTTATAGACTTATAAATAAGTGAACTATTAAAAGAGAAAGAATATGAACAGTATTTGAAGAGAATTTCTACAATCAATATAAAAGACTCTATTCTGATTTATTCAGATAACTCAAAAAATGAGAACTTGAATAGATTAGATGCAGGAATTGCTTATACTGAAGATAATATCAATTTTATCTCAGATTTCTAAAATCTAGACTCTGAATGTGAAGTCTTTGATACTGAACTATTTATAATAGTGAAAGCTTTCAAACTCATTGAAATAAAATCTCATAAAAGAGGAAATTATTTGAAAGAGATATGAATATTCTCTGATAGTCAAGCTGCTTTAAAAAGACTTAGAAATAGTCAGATTCATAATGATCAAATGAATCTTGAACTGATCTTAAACTCTATTTTGAAAATTCAAAAGAGAAGAATATCAAAGCTGATAATTCATCTACACTAAGTTCCTGCTTATATGAATATTCATGACAATGAATTGACTGATTCAGCTGTAAAAAAGAGTGCAGAATTAAGCAGATCTATTTAAAAAATTATGTTCTGATCTTTTATAAAGAGAAAAATAAAAGAATCTTGTTTAAATAAGTGGAATGAAAGCTGGCAGAAACAAAAGAAGAGTATACATTATTCAAGATTTGAAACAAAACCCAAGTGAAAATCTTGTTCAATTAAATGTAAAAAGAAAATATTCTCATCTATAATACAGCTGAAACTAGAACATGGCTATTTCAAATCTTATATACAAAGATTTGATGATAGATTTGACTCAATAGAATGCTCATTCTGCAATATAAATGAGAATTCTGAGCATATTGTAATACACTGTGCATTATACAATAGTCTCAGAGTCAGATTGAAAGAGAAGTATGATCTAAATCAATTAAATATGAGATTCTTATTCTCAACTGAGACAGAAATTAAATACTTAATAGACTTTCTATCAGAAACTCAAGCAGCTATAAGAAAATGACTAAATTCAGAATTATCTGAATATGAAGAGGAGGAAATCAATCAGATATAGTCTGTTAAAACAGCTATATACTCTCTTTTAATAATTTATTTTGTTATAGTCTCTCTTTACTTTATCTTTTTCTTTATCTTTTTCTTTCAATTTCTTTCTATCTATCTATTTAATGTGTCTATCTTTGAGACTGTGTTCTTTTTCTCTTTTCCTTTATCATGATATTATCAAATGGTTTCAAAGTATCAAAAGATGTTAAAACACTACAATTTGTAAACAGTTTTTGTATTCTGGGCTGAAATTTTCTGATTTTGCATATCTGAAATTGATGAATGTATAATAGTTAACTTTACAGACATAGGAAAAACCCTGAGAACTAAAAGTTCTCAGGTAGATATCATAGTCTCTGACTGCATACATCTATAATTGAAGAATAATAATAATAATAGTAATCACTGAATAAACTGAATGAGACTGAATTTAATCTTCAGTTTTAGTCTTATTCTGATTTTGAAAGAATAATTATCTTTTACTATTTATTCTGAGAAATTACTCTTATTTCACTATTCTTGAATTAAATCTAGTTATTTTTCACATTATTTCTGAATGAAATAATTTATTTTCAGCTTTTTTTAATACTCAGTTCTGATGAGACTCATACTAAGAAATATATGAGATCAGATTAAATGAGATTAAATGTGAAATTCATAATTTCATCAGTCAGTCTATCTTGATATAATCTCAACATCTGTATTTTCTTCTGTATAATTAAAACTTGACCTGTATTTAACATTATATAGAAACTCATTATAAGCTCTGCTTGTATATAAGTATAATAAAAGAATAATAATAATAATAATAATTAATTAATCTAATTACACAGTATTAAAATTAGATAGTAGTCTTATACTGTCTCAGTAAGACTTACTATCTACTCTTATTACATTTCTAAAATAAGATTATCATTTTCACTTCTTAATTTAAGTTCATTTTATTACTTTAAATAACTTTAAATCTTATTTAAGTATTATTAAAAATCATTACTTTTTAAAAAATTAAAAATAGTCTAAAAAAAACCTTAAAATGTGTAAAAATAGTAACTTTATACTAAGAATGAGACTAAATAAAATTAAATAAGATCAGTTTCTTATTTTTTCTAAGTTATAGTCTTATTTTAAAATCTGATAAATAGTTACTTTGTATATTTTTTTAATAATTAGTCTTAGTGAGATTCATACTAAGAGATGTATAAGATTAGATTAAATGAGATTAAATATAAAATTTATAGTCTTATTAGCCAGTCTAGAAATAATTATTAATATTATTATTCTTTTATTATACTTATATACAAGTAGAGCTTATAATAGTAAGTTCTTACATAATATTAAATACAGATAAAATGCTAGTTATATAGAAGAAAATACAGATATTAAGACTATATTAAAATAATAAAAATATAGAAAGTATAAATGAGTAATAATTTAATATATATAATAATAACTTCTCAGTTCAGAAATATAGAGTAATTTATTATAATAATTTATACATTTCTATATTTATTAAAAATCTGAAATGTATAAGTTTTGAATTTAATATATTCTCTACAGATTTTAAATCTATATATCTTGATTTCTCACACTGAAATAATATTAAATAACTGTATTAATTATTCCGCTATCAGAATTATAGCAATTAAATTAGTTAATACTAAACTTTATATTTTTATTAAATATCTATTTTAAATTTATGAATTTCTCTTTCACTTTATTATAGTCTAATAGATAATTTATAGACTTATATACTTATATCTTACTCATAGTTTAATAAGAGATGTCAGAATCAGACTAATGAAAAATCATTATACAATTCACAGCAGCTTTGATATACTTAATAAAAAGAGAATAAATGTTAGTATTTAACTGTATTATTCATCTCTTAAGAGCTTTCTTCTAAGTGTTATTCAATGTTCAATTGATTGAAGCTCTTATAGTTTTTGATTTGTTTTCTTTAATTTATTTTATCAAGATTATATATGAAACTTTAAATTCTCATATCATCTTTGCAATTTTTAGTTTGTAATCTACTTTTAATGTGTCAATGGTGTTTTGAAGCTGAGCTTCAGTGAATTTAGATGATTTAGATATAATGGCGGTGATTAATGAATACTTGAAGATGAAGAATGATGATAATTACAGTTGCAGTGATATTACAGTTACACTGGGGTGCACTCACTAATGGTAGTAAGTTGCGCTTGGCACGGTTACTACTACTAGTTACTACTACTAACTTGCACTGCTTCTACAACTCATGGTTCAACAGCCAAGATTTGCATTGAATTAAAATATATTCATGCTGTCTCTATAATACACCGAGATTTTATTTTACAAGTCCTTCAGATAGTGTGATTTAATAATTACATGATGGTTATTAAAATCCGCGGTGTACTTGGCAACTAAGCAATAATAGGATTCTATGTGCGCCAAGTATTTCGTGAGCGCAGTGGTTGCAAAATCCGTCTAATGTCGAGATTTCTCGAATCCTCGGGGAGCTATGTGGGGAAGAAGTCATGGCATCAGCATCATGTTTGTTCTGGGAGGCTCTGTGGAGCCGTCGCCCGCATTGGATTTTACTCAAAAAATTCCAACAGTTTTCCCTGGGGGAAGGAGGAGGATGCTGATAGCAGGAAGGAAGTCGTTGAGCTGGATATGATATATGATTCATTCCTCTGCAGCATATCCAGGGCGACGTCCGTCCCTGGAAAACGGGAGTGTACCAACTTCGCGGGCCCATCGATCTTAAGTTTTGGTTAGGGAAGTTGGCTAGAATCCCGTGAGGATGTATGGACTTTTACAATGGCTGAGAGAGAGCCCATACAAGTGTCATGGAATCTTCCACTGCATAACATCGAAACATGCACGGGTTGGGTTATTCCGATCTAGTCGTAAATGGTAGACTTGACCGCAGACACTTGCTAAGATATTTTGGTGAGCCGTTGGTCGTTTTAATTTTTAAATTTCTTCATCAATAATAACGGTTTTGCCCAGCAGCCAACCCGGCCCGTCGGTCAACACCTACTGCGTAGAACAAACCTGATAAATCAACTGTCCTGTTCTCATCGAGTTTCTCAGAGGTTATCAGTTGCCTGGGGACTCTTCGCTGTTGAAATGGGATTGGGCTGGCCAACGAGTCAACAACTTCATTCCGATGATTCATGACATGGAAGGGCAGCAGGCTCAGCCTCTCTCGAAACAGATACGTGCATTGCATTATTGGGCACAACGTAGGGCTCAAAACATTTTCGAACTTGAAACCCCTTTCATCAAGTCTCAAGCAGGTAAACGTTAGCGATGTCGCGATCTCCTAGATGTCTGTTTTGAGTTTTCCGTAGAGAACGTTGCTTTTTTTTTTTTTTTTTTTTTATCTATATTTTTTATTAGTTACTGCTTTTCTCGAGCGGTGTTGTCATTCGATGGGGCTGGCCAAGCCAACAATCGACGCTTGGGCTCCAGCAGGCTCGAAGGGGACCGGGTCTCCGCAGCCAGGGAGCCCCATAACCAAGCCCTAAAAGGGCCGCCAGTAACAGTCCCCAGCCTAGCGCTCAAGGGCTTTTGACTAGCCCGCTAAACCCTGCCGAGGCGGCCGCCTCCCTGTCCCACCCCTTGTGCAGAAGGCTGACCCCCCTCCGTTGTCGCCCAATGGCTACAGCCCAATAAGCGGGCAGCGCACCCCCCCCCCCCAAAAAGGCCATCCGTTGGGTTGGTTGGCTGCAAGTCTGCAGGTTGGAAAACGACGGGTGTTGACCTGCAAGTTGTGCGTACCTTGGTTTGTCCACCAGAAAAGCCAGAGCAGAGCAGGTGAAGGGGTCTTCAGTTGGCTGTTGGCGGCTCCAGATGACCAAGGCCTTATAGCCAGCGGCGTTGTGGGTGTGTTGCCACTGGCCCACTGGGTGGGTTGGACAATCATATGGGTGGTCGGACGGGGCTTGGTTTCAAAGTTCAGGCGCGAGCTAACCCAGGCTAAGCAAGCCTCTTGTCAAACCCCGGTGGATCCCAACCCACCGCAATCCACTCCAGCGCAACATCCACTACACACCCACCCAAGACATGCAACAACATCCAGCAAAAGATCCTCTCCACCACGTTGTCAATCATCACGTTCTCTCTGCTCCTGTTTCCCTCTCTCTATCCGTCTCTCCGACTGTGGTTCTCTAACTCTGACTCTCTCTGACTCTATCTGCGGTCACTATTCCTCAACTTCTGCATTCCCCACCGCATCTTTCTCCTCTTAACACCGGCTGCCATAGCCACCCTCGATCCCTTCTATTGATTGCCCTTTGCCCGTTAGATTTCCAGTTGATCCGTTTTCCACCTAGCATCGACCTCGTCTCTCCGTTGAATACCGCTATTATTGCGTTTCACCCTCGTAGATCCTTCGGCTTTAGCCTCGTTGGGAGCCTTCATATTTCCCAATATCGCGTTTAACCAGACTCTCCGTCCCTCTCTCTCCTCCACCGCCCTCGCTCTATATATATGTCTCTGTAGTTTTTCGAGGTGAGTGTGGATGACTTTGACCCTTTAGCACACCCACCGGGGAGTTGATAGGCAGCGATCCAAAAGTGCGCCTGCATGATCTCTGGTCACCCTTGGCGTCTCCAGCTTGCTTTTTTTTTCTTCTGACCGCGCCCTTCGTCACTCACTATTTACTCTATTTGCTTCTCATCTTCCATCAACCACATCTGACGTCTATCTCCAAAGGGCCCTAGAAATATAATTTCTTCCGCCTCGCTGGGTATTATCTGTTTTCTCCAGGACGCCTGTAACCTGGATTCCTACACTTAAACTACAACTCTTCTCTGCGTCCACTTCCGCTCTTACATATCCTCCGAACATCGCTCCGAATTCGAATTATCCAGACATCTGTCGAAAATTTACTCCAGACCCCAACCAGCGCTTCCGGCTTGCTCGTATACCAGTTGAAGTGGGTTTTACGGTTCGCCGGACCCGAGACTATAGTCCTTCAGTCGCTCGCTGCTGGTTTGGCGTGTTTTGCACTACGCAGCAGGCCGGGCAATCAATCAATATATCTATTCCAATAGACAGCCTCATCACACAACTATAGCCGAAAACTTTTTGGACAATATTTTGGAACCAGCCATTACCGTGGAAGCTACCCGTCGTTCGTTGTGCTTTGTAAGGGAATGAACTTCATGGATTGATGTGGACTATTTTGATTGGCGTTTAGTGCCCTTTCTAACACTACTGAGTTTGACTAGCCATGGCATGATGCGGTGTCTGAAACGATCAAAAGAACGGTTTTGTCGATAAAGAGTTGGGCAGGCTCCCTGTTGTCCGTTGCTCTTGTCGATCGTTTCTTCCTTTTCCTCTACCCTTCGAGAGAGTGTTCCCCCTTCTTCCACAGACAAGAGCCATGTTACCGTCTGTGGCACAGCAGTCACACCACTTCCTACATCACCATCTGGACCATCAGCCGCCTTTCGACCCATTAGATCCTCTCTATGATCTGGCCGGCAACTCCTTGCGATCGGCTTTCCGCCAGGGTCAGCAGTATGGATACCCAGACCAGCAGCAGCATTCGGTGATGCTACGTCAGCGGGTCCAATACCAGCGACCCATCCAGCGACCAAATGGTCAAGATTTGACGACCGCGTCTTTGGTTCAAAATGGAAACACTGTAGAGAACACGCTGAGGCGGAAAACGCCCAACGGAACGCTGGCGGCTGGATACGACGGCACACTTGGTGATCTATCTATTCAGCGTCCAGCGTTAAAGCATATTTTGGTTTCATCATTGGATAATGGCCAGCCTATATCACCACACTCCGCTCTTCCAACTGAGTCATGGCAATACAAAAGCCTCGAACCGCCTCCGGCGTCCCAATTTCAGAATTTCCCGCCAACCTACAAGTACGAGGGAACCAGATCCACCGGCCTTCCGAGTGGTATGTCCCAAAACACCAATGGCACAAGTTGGATTCGGTCCTTGCACTGTCCGCCTGGCATCGATTCAATGCTAAATCAAACAGCATCGCTGCTTCCGTCACAGAGGTACTATATGCAAAATGGCCCTCCCATCCCGACGGTATTGGCTTCTTCGTTGCAGTCTAATCTTGGCCCAACCGCCTCCGGGGGGGCTGGTCCTTATGGACCCTATTGGCCTGATGGTGCCTACATCCCGTATCGACCTGCTGCGTCTCGCGATGCACGATACCAATCGACACCCGCATTTGGCCCTGTTCAAGATAACTCCGCAGCTTTTGCGTCCCTGCAACAACCCTTTAATAGACAGTCCCTCCCTTCCACGGACCTAATTACTCTAGGATTTTCCTGGAACCCCTTACCAGCCCAACCAACCCAACAAAATCTGCATCAGTTGTATAATTCGGACCCAGTCGTCCAGGAGTCGTTTCCTCGCCATTCGCAACAAAACCAACTAGATACGTTTTGGGAGCAAAATAACGCTCCTTACCACACTAGATCGGCGCAAAATGCACGACACGATACGCTGCAGCAAAGGCAACCCCAATTAGATAACTTCAACTGGCAAGCTCTACCGCAACAGAATGCGTTTCAACGGTCAACGGCGGACGTTAGCTCAAGACCAAGGAATACTGAGTTTAAAGAAAAGATTCTCTCCTGGGCACATAGTGTATATGTTGACCTACTTACTTCACTTCACCATACTAGAAGGAAAAATGCCGCTCTAGGGATCCAAGACAATAATGGCCGTTCCAAACCGAATATATACCCCAAACCCCCAAGACAACCGGCTTCTGACTTCAGCTCACAGTCTGGTAATGCGGATGCTACTTTTCCAAATCAACAGTTCCTTCGAACCCATTCTCGGCCACTGGACTTGATGACACAAAATCAGATGGATGGCAAACAATTTCCTTTGCGCAATTCTACGGTGCCCGGGAACAATCTCATGCGGAACTACCACGACAAACGCGTTAATTTCGGTCAGCATTCGAATCACCGGTTAGCGGATGCTAATGGATTTGATAACCTTCGGCCGATATGTCGCTCTTCCGGTGCTAATGTGTACAGTGAGGCTTCGGTGATGGAGAATGCTGCGTCTGCCCTGGAAATCCTCTCTAGCCTTTGCCTCGAAAGTGGATGGGAATGGATTGATGGAATGCTTGTTGGTGGATGTCTCGCTTACGGCCTTGGGGATTATGATAAAGCCCTTAGGTGGTATACTCGAATACTTAATAAGGATGCTTCGTACGTCTCACCCCCTTATTATTGCTGCTGTGATAGTCGAACAGCCCATTTTGCGTTTGTTGTCCTAACATTTCTCTTTTTGATAGGCACGTTGAGGCGATATCAAATCTTGCGGCGACACTTTTCGCTCTTGATCGTCGTGAGGAGGCGCTCAACCATTGGCTACGGGCTGTCAAGCTGCGTCCAAGTTATTTCGAAGCTGTAGAACACCTCATTGGTCTCCTCTGCAGTAGTCAACGGGGTAAAGAAGCAGTTAATATCATTGAATACGTTGAAACAGCTCTGCGGGTTACGGCGAATGGAGAATGCTTCAAGATGGACGGTCTTATCAGCGAAACAGACAGTGAAACGGAGAGCAGAGAGTCGAGCGTTTCAACTACAGAGTCCATGGACAAAGCAGCATTTGATTATGAAGCGGAACCTGATAGTCCTCCTAGCTTCGGTGCTGGTACAAACAAAAATGCGGCCCCCGGTTTTGGATCAAGCGGATATGCTATACCTGGCTGCGATAATGGAAGAATACTTGCTCTAATACACGCAAAGGGTAATATGCTCTATGCCTTGGGTGATAATAGCGGGGCAGCGTCCGCCTTCGAAGATGCCATTCTCATCGGAGCAGGGAGACGGCGGCGTGGAATTCGAAGTCTTATCAGCCTGATACTGTCGGCTTTTGAGGAGGACAATCGTCATAATTTCCCCGCACCCTCGCAGCGGCGCGACTCTACCAACGCACTGCTTCTTTACCCTGATAAGGCACTGCAAACAGCGACACTCGTTTTCCCTCCCCAAGGGAACCTCCCTGGATTCCAGCACATCCCCGACGGGATTGCCAAAAAGGCAGCTATTTCTACTACCAGCAACTCGTTGCTCTCTTTGGCCAAAATCTATCAAGATGGAATGTCTTCCAGTTCAAGTCTTGGAGGCTCAAAACCCTCTACGGGAGTCCGTGATATTCTTGCTCTTTATTACCTTTCTCTATCACTCCAGCCCAGCCCATCCACGGCCAACAACGTCGGAATTTTGCTCGCGAGCATCCAGCAGATTGGACCACCTAATCCGTCCCATGCATCTGGCGAAAACCAGCTGCCGGATATCCCTGGAGTTGTTCCAGGGAGCGGAATTGCTCTTGCCCTGGCTTATTATAACTACGGGCTGAACCTTGACTCGAAACATGCTCATCTCTATACGAACCTTGGCAGTCTTTTGAAGGACATTGGACAACTCCCAGCCGCAATCAAAATGTATGAACAGGCCGTGCAATGCGACAGTAAATTCGACATTGCGTTGGCCAATTTAGCCAATGCTGTTAAAGATTCAGGGCGGATTAACGATGCGATTGGTTACTATAAAAGGGCCGTTGCTGCTAATCCTGAGTTTGCAGAGGCAGTTTGTGGTCTTGCAAACGCATTGAACTCGGTTTGCAATTGGAGTGGCAGAGGTGGGATAGCAACTGGCAATGGTGCCCGCGACCGATGGCATGTCGATGACAAGGGGATGCTTCGGGATGCGAAGGAAATGGGAGTTGATTCCGGCTGGATTAAACGTGTTGTTGAAATCGTGGATAAGCAGCTCAAGGATGGGGAAACATGGGGAAGTGGTGTGCTAGCTTCCATGCCGCGGGACCAGTTCGGGCTTAGTTTAGCTCTCGTTGGCAAAGACTCGGTTTTGAGCCATTACAATGCTTCTTTGAACGCTCTTCTGAGAAACTGGGCGGGAAAGAAATGGGAAGGCTCGAGAATTGTGAGGCTCGTCGAACGAGCGATAAAGTGGATCGGTTGGCGTTGGTATCAGGATCGATACGTTCATGGCAAAGAGTATCCCCCCTCGAAATACTCCCGGCCGCAACTCCCAGCTAGTTTAGCCGCTCCCAACGCCCCGACCGTTTTACCGTTCCACACTTTTACATGCCCCCTTTCAGCAAAGCAAATCCGTCACATTTCGCAACGCAATGGTCTGCGAATATCGTGCTCGACACTTCGATCTCCTTGGCTGCCTGGAACGGTGTTCCGCCCTCCCCCACCACCTAACCCCCATTTAAACGTCGGGTATGTTTCATCAGATTTCAACAATCATCCGCTTGCGCACTTGATGCAGTCTGTTTTCGGCCTCCATAACCCTTCTCGAGTCAAGGCGTTTTGCTATGCAACAACAGCCAGTGACAACTCCGTGCATCGAAAACAGATAGAACGTGAAGCCCCTGTTTTCCGTGATGTCAGCAGCTGGCCTGTGGATCGACTAGTGGAACAAATCGTCAATGACGAGATACACATTTTGATAAACCTAAATGGTTATACCCGTGGAGCAAGGAATGAGGTTTTCGCCGCCAGGCCGGCACCAATACACATGTCATTTATGGGATTCGCGGGTACACTAGGCGCTGAAT